GGAGGAGGAGGAGGAGGAGGAGGAGGAGGAGGAGGAGGAGGAGAGGGAGGAAAAGGAGGAGGAGGAGGAGGAGGAGGAGAAGGAGGAGACCGACGAGGTGGAGGAGGAGGAAGAAGGAGGAAGAAGAGGAGGAGGCGGGGGGTGGCGAGGAGGCAGCTTCTGGGAGGTCTTCGCAAGATCGATGAAGCGCCAATTCACCCTATTAAAAGCGATTCAATCAGATCAACGCAGATCTGGCCCAATGTTGAACCAAACTAACAAATGACAGAACAAGATGAAACGGAACTCAGCGGGATTTCAGGCGAAGTTGGCCAGTTTTCGACCACGGATCTACCAGCGCCGACTCTGCATCTAACCTCCCAGAAACCGCATCCTACGAGGGGAAGAACAGGAGGAGGAGGAACAGGAGGAGGAGGAGGAGGAGGAGGAAGAATGAGGAAGAGGAAGAAAAAGGAGGAGGAGGAGGAGGAAAAACAGCGGACTCTGCATCTGACCTCCCAGAAACTGCATCCTACGAGGGGAAGAACAGGAGGAGGAGCAGGAGGAGGAGGATGAGGTGGAGGAGGAGGAGGAGGAGGAGGAGGAAGAAGGAGGAAGAGGAAGAAAAAGGAGGAGGAAGAGGATGAGAGGAGGAGGAGGAGGAGGAGGATGAGGAGGAGGAGGAGGAGGAGGAGGAGGAGGAGGAGGAGGAAGAGCAGCCGACTCTGCATCTGACCTCCCAGAAACTGCATCCTACGAGGGGAGGGCGGCGGCGGCGGCGAGGACGACGGGCGCTCCGACCGCGGACGACGCGGCGGTTTCAACCTCGGCGTCGTTCTCTCGTTTGCGGCTCGGGAGGCCGCTTCGGGCCATGGGAGCGTCGGACACCTCCTCCTCCTCCTCCTCCTCCTCCTCCTCCTCCTCCTCCGCCTCCTCTCTCCTCCTCCCCCCCTCCTCCTCCTCCTCCTCCTCCTCCTCTCCTCCTCCTCCTCCTCCTCCTCCTCCTCCTCCTCCTCCTCCCTCCTCCCCCGCCTCTCCTCCTCCTCCTCTCCTCCTCCTCCTCCTCCTCCTCCTCCTCCTCCTCGATCCAGGAGGACAGACCGTCCAGGAAAGGACCAGGAGGACCTCCGAAGCTGCGGGCTAGAACATCACATCGCGGGACGGGGGAAGACGGGGGCAGGGATGACGCGGGACGGGGAGCAGAGATCACCAGGACGAGGGGGGGGGTCGTAACGTTCCGTGGAGTGTTTATCGCGAGCCCCGCTTCGTGAAGGAGCTGCCCTCCGTCGGTGCTTCTGGCGAAAACGCCTCGAGGCATCTCCAACGACAGCCCCACCCTGAAAAGGACCCGCGTTACGTCCACGCACTCCAAACGTCGTCATGAAAGAGAGGGGGTCACAACCCTCCCGGACGAGCAGTCCTAGACCCCCCTTCAGACCAGCCATCAAAGGGAAGTCTTGTGCCCAGACCCCACTGGAAGCCTCCAAGACAACTCAAATCAGACCCATTCCCAGATCAGACCACCCCCCTTGTGTTGTGAAATCCGGAGTAGCTGCTCAACACTTTGCAACTGAAGGTGTTTGTTGTTTATTATGTTTTGTTCCTCCGTCTTGCTGCCCACTGTGGGAATGGAATCGGCAAGGCTCGCTGGGTCGTCCATTTTTCAAACGAGCCAGCCCATCGTCCCTCAAGGCAAACGGAAAGCAAAAGTAAACACGTGCAACAATCAACACCGCAATGGGCAGCCACGGGGCAATCTGGACCGACGTCCGTTGCACCCCCACCCGAGAAGTAGTACCTCCTCGTCCCCCTCGATCTCGCGCCCCAGAAGGTGTCCCGGTGCGATAGGACATAACATTGGCCATCCCGAGGCACCCTTCGTGCACAGGTGGTTCTGAAACTCTACGCGTTCCTCATCAGGCATTCCCTGAATGTCTCGCCAACAGAGGAGCATTTGCGGTACATCCTGGTGGTGCACGGCTCCTTGCCGATGCTCACGTATCGTGCCTCTGTCCGGAGGAAGTCGAACGTCGACACATTTGCGCGGGCCTCTTTGAGCCGCCTCTCGAACCACTCTTCGGTCTTCAGGGGGTCGTTGTGGATCCTGGCCGTCGGCGCCTGGTTGATCCACGACGCCAGCAGGGAGATGTGACCATCGCGCGTCCCAGCAAACAGGATGTCGATGCCCCGCCGATTGCCGAAGTACATCTTGTCGGACCAGGCCTTGAAGCCACAGTGAACGTCCACCAGCATCGATGCGGGCGCCTGAGAAGGCTCGGCGCCGTTGTCCAGGCCCCGGGCGAGCTGGAGCAGGGTGTAGGACGGGTGCACGAAGACGTTGTCCTCGCGCGTGTAAAGGACGTGCGTGTACTTGTAGCCCAGGCCCTCCTCGGCCTCTGCGGCGGACTTGTAGGCCAAGTGGCGCATGTACATCATGTTGCCGTTGTCTATGAATCGCATGGTGCCCATGCGCTGGATATCCCCCCAGAACTTGTCGAACGCCTCTGGTTCCATACCGCTCTCTGCCTTCGCCTTGGCCACGACGTCCTCGCGAACTTTCGTGATAGTCGTGTTGAACTGCTCTTCTTCGATGATAGTGGCGCGGACCATGTTGGCACCCAACATCTTGAAATGACCCTCGAGGATCGACTCATTCGGACCATGGCCACCCACGCCTGTGTTGTTATCCCACGTCCACTCCTCATATGGCATGCGGTAATTCGGTCCGAAGAAATGTTTTGCATGCGTGCGGGACAAAGCGATGTGTACGTCTACAAGAACTGGGCAATCGTGGTTGGCGGTCTGAGCACATCCGGACCATGCCTGGAGACCTCCGTCAATGTACTTGGCGGAATCCTTGTAGATGAAGCGAGGCACCTGGCCAGAGATCAACCATGCCACGAAAATCTTCGGCCCCGCCAACAAGTCAGCCGGAGGAAGGTGGAAGGTCGGCTCGGCCTTGGGGAGCGTGGTCTTGCCCGTTGCCTTCTGGGAGCCGTTATTATCCTTGGTGGCGCCCTCCATGGTGTCATTGCCCGGCGCCGCACTGCTCGTCCACGCCGGGTAGTTGTCGCAGTCGCCGCCGGTGCCGCAGCAGACGTCGGACAGGAGCTCGTGGCTGGTGCACAGGCGGAGGCCCAGGTCACGACACGTGGCCGCGGCCGCGGCATACGTCCCCGGCGCCTCCCTGTTGCACCTCTGGGGCGACGTGCAGGACGCGCCGTCCCCCGCGCAGCAGCGCGCGAAGGCCGCGGCCCGGGCCTCCGGCACGTACGCCCCCAGGAAGTCGGCCGGGAGTCTGTCCTCCGAGCGGCAGCCGTCGTCGACCCAGCGGCGGGGCGCCTCCTCGGCCTCCGTCGCCTTCGCCTCGGCCCCGTGCCCGACGGGCCGTGTGCGGTCGCGCTCGGCCCTCTGCTCTGGAGCGAGCGCGGCGCTCTGCTCTGGAGCGAGCGGGGCGAGCTCGGGCAGCTCGGTGTCCTTGGTGGCGCCCCCCTCGGCGGCAGGCTCGTCGCGAGAGTGACCTCGAGCGACCACGCCCCTGGTGTCGTTCTCGCTGGCAACGGTCTCCTGGGTGTCCGTCGCGTCGGTGGCCTGCTCGCCAGTGGCGCTCTGATCCTGCTGCTGCTGCTTCTGCTCCTCCTCCTCCTCGCTGCCCTCCTCCCCCATCCTCCCCCTCCTCCTCCACGTCCTCCTCCCCCTCCTCATCCCCCCCCTCCTCCTCCTCCTCCTCCTCCTCCTCCTCCTCCTCCTCCTCCTCCTCCACCCCCGTATGGCGGCGCCCTCGTTGGTGGCCTGACCCAAAGTGTACACGAGACTGGAACTGGTACAAGATGAAGCACGCGTAGAGACATCCGCAGGTTCTGGCAGGGTCTTGAGGCAGAGGCAAGACGTTGCGTCCTGCACGGAGAAGGCAACATACCCTTGAAGGTCAGAGCATCTTCCAGCACACTGCTCAGCTTGAGAGTCGGCCGAACCAGTCAGAGTCCAAGTACAATCGACATAGTATGTCTCCGAGTCCCTCTTGCATGACCATTGCGGAAGTACCGCACCACAGCCCAAGTAGGTGAATCTCTGCAGAGGCGAGGGCGTCTCCGAGCCCGCGGCCAGCGAGGTCACGCCCGAGGCCGTCGTCGCCAGGCCCTGGCTCGTGCGCAGCGGCCAGAGCGCCAGCGGCCACGGGGACAGCGCGCGCATCATCGAGTATACGGATGCAGTAGTGAGAAGATGTGTGTAGGCCGGCGCGCTGGGATCTAGCGTCCGGTAGCCTCTGGCACAACGGCTCGAAGCTCGAAGTCCACTTGAGCCAACATGGCTACGGATTGCAGCTCGTCGACGCCGTCGCATCAACATATGAATACGGTGAGACCTCTTGGCAACCACACGGCCTCTTGAACACCTCATACGCTCCATCCGCTCAACTGTCGCAAGCTGCTGGGACAAGCGTGCGCGGCGCGAGCGGGAGGCCAACAACTTCGAAACCACCCGCCCTCTATGAGTGTGAGCGGCGCCAGGACGAACCTCCACCCATCAAAGGCAGCAGGGTGTTGCGGAGAGCGGGCGCAAACTCCAAGATGAGTCTGCGCGGCGCCAGAGCGAGAGACACATGTTGGGCACCAACGGGCATCCATCTTTGCAGCCGCTGGGAGCTCCCAGCTTCAGGCTTGCCCACCACCGTGCCGCAATGTCCTCGAGTCCCTTCGGAGATTCCCGTGGGCCGAATCGCTTCTGGGTTCCGGGCCGATCTCGGTGGACGGCGTGGTTCCCAGTTCCGCAGGTTCCTGGTCGATCTTCTTATCGATCGGTCTCACCATCGATTTCATTACCCACCTCTCCATCGATCTCTCTTCGATCTGACAAGCGATCTCACTATGGATCTTACAATCGGTCTCACTATGGATCGCACGAGCGATCTCACGATCGATCTCACTGTCGATCTCAATGAGTCGACTTCACGATCAGTCTTGCGATCGACCGTCCAATCGTCCTCACGATCGGTTCCATTATCGATCTAACTATCGATCTCACAGTAGATCTCAGTATCCATGTCACTAGTTTTCAACCATCCACTGATTGCGGTTTTCCTATGTTGTAGGGGGAGGATGAGGACGAGGACGAGGACGAGGAATAAGACACAGAGAAGAAGAGAGAGGTATGATGACAAGGGGGGGCACCATATACATATATATATATATGCCAACACAATCAAGCTGGCGCAATAAATTCCCCGAGATACATGCTGGACGCCTCCTGGAGACCACCGGGGCCCGCCGAAGAGGCCAGCACTCGTGAAACAACGTAGGAAAGCGTTCCAACTCAATTCCGCATGCGAGGAGCCCCGGCAGGGCCCCAAGAGGCACCCCTAGGCACCCCAAGAAGCATGTATGAAGGGGCCCCAGGGCACACAAATAAATACACACAAATAAAAAGATTCCCCCTATTTTCCCATATTCTCCGTGTGTCTGTCTTCCCCCCACTTCCCATATTTTCCCATATTTTCTGGGGAATCGAGGATTACTTGTGTCTGTGTGTTTCTTGTCTTCCTGAATGTAACAACGCCCGTGCTTACGACCCAGTCACAATGGTGGTGGTTTGGGCCGAAGGTCCCCAGATAAGAGGTGGAGGCATCTCAAGCGAAGCGCCTGGCCCGTCCTGCAGACACGTTTGAAGTGGTGCGGCAAGGCGGGGCTACTACGAAGAAAGCGGCGTGGAGGCATAAGAAGAAACAGGAGAAGAATCGGCGGACTGTTGTGCAGAACTCGCTCGCGGGTGCTGGACGTGAAACGGGGCTCGCAAAGGAAAGCCACCTCCCACCGACGACCAACTAACAAGCGGCTGGCGATATTCACCGCCGCTCTGCGGCCACAACACGTGCGAGAAGCTCGCAAAACTAAAAGCGTGGGAGCAAATGCCCCTCGCTTGCCACCTGGATGAGTCCACCTCCTCCCAGCTCTCCCCGCTCCACCCCAGTACGACCGTCACAACATGGCATTGCTCCGTGCGCGAGCGTATCCTTAAGTCGGGCGCGTCCCCCTACAGGGAAATTGTCGACAACAAATAAAGTATCCCAGTGCGACCCTACCGTTGGAGCATTTAGGAGAGCAACATCTACATCTACACCGACAGCTACATTTACATCTACACCTGCATCTACATGCCGTCTACTCTGCGCTATGCTATGCTATGCTTTGCTATGCTTTGCTATGCTGGGCTATGCTGCGCTATGCTATGCTATGCTATGCTAGGATACGCTCAGCTGCGCTGTATTATGCTAGGCTATGCTATGCTCTGCTATGCTGCGCTATGCTATGCTATGCGATGCCATGCTGCGCTATGCTATGCTGTGCTATGCTATGTTATGCAGCGCTATGCTATGCTATGCTAGGCTATGCTATGATATGCTATACTGCGCTATGAATTGCTATGCTATGCTATGCTATGCTATGCTATGCTATGCTGCGCTATGCTATGCTATGCTATGCTGTGATGTGCTGTGCAAAGCTATGCTGCGCTGTGCTATGCTAAACAATGCAATGCTATGATATGTTATGCTATGCTGAACTATGCTGAGCTATGCTCTGCTATGCTATGCTTGGCTATGCTATGATATGCTGTGCTAATGCTGCGCTGCGCTATGCTGCGCTGCGCTGCGCTAAGTTAAGGTAATTTAAGCTATGCTAAGCGAAGCTAAGCGAAGCTAAGCTAGGCCAGGCCAGGCTAAGCTAAGCTGAGCTAAGCTGAGCTAAGCTAAGTCAAGCTAAGATGCTATAGGCTAAGCTAAGCTAAGCTAAGCTAAGCTAAGCTAGGCTAGGCTAGGCTAGGCTAGGCGAGGCAAAGCTAAGCTAAGCTAAGCTAAGATGATATAAGGTAAGCTAAGCTAAGCTAAGCTAAGCTAAGCTAAGCTAAGCTAAGCTAAACTTAGCTAAGCTGGATGAACCCAGGGGACGTAACTGGGGGAACCGCGGGGCGGATCCTGTGGGAACCGCGGGGCGGATGCCGGGGGAACCGCCCGGGGCGTTTTCCACTGCCCGGCCCCTTTCAGACAGAGGATAAGAACCCTTCCAGAGCCTAGGTAGGGAAAAATACCCCAGAAATAATCAAAACATACTCCAAAAATAGTCTGGGGACTATTTTTTTTTTTTTTTGTATTTTTCGATTTTTTGGGGGTGCTTTTTGAATATTTTTTATTTTCGTCGAAAACCCCCTGTAGGGGGACACGCCCGACTTGAGCGTATCCCTGAGTGGCGCGCCCAGGCGGGCAACCGCAGCGGCCTGCCCCCGAGCACGGCGGCGCCCGGAACCCCTGCGCGCGGAGCCACGGGCCGAGCCCCGAGGCCGACGCCGCAAGCCCCAGCAGCACTGTGAGACGCCTCGCTGAAACCGCACGGCGGGCTCGCGTCGTGACGGCCCCTGGCGCTGGCTTCTGTAGGGGAACAAAAAGTGGCATAAAGATAAAAACTCGGAGGTCCGCGCGGACTTCTCGGATCGGCGCTGGAACCCCCTCCCTGGCGCGCGGAGCGCGCCAGGGGCGGCGCCGGAGGCGCCGTCGGGGGGGCCCAGCGCCGATCCGAGAAATCCGCGCGGACCTCCGAGTTGTTATGTTCATGTCACTTTCTGTCCCCCTAGTCTGACACTGCGCGGATGGTTCAGCCTTGAACGACCGGCGGCTTCTCGATCGCCAGGTCGTTCCATGTTTGAGGACAGCACAACCCACCCCCAATCTCACCCAGGGCACCCACCTCCGACCTGGTGGTCCAGGGTGCCCTGGGTGGGGGTGGGGGTGGGCTGTAAGAGCCGCGGGGCCCAAAAAACACACCCCCACCCCCACCCAGGGCACCCTGGATCACCAGGTCGGAGGTGGGTGCCCTGGGTGGGGGTGGGGGTGGGTTCTGCTGTCCTCAATGTTGGGCCGATTCTGGCACACGGGCGGCATGAAACCTCGAACGCCCGCGGCGGGGTCGCGGCGAGGGGACACGCCGCGACCCTGCCGCACACCCTGCAGAAAACAGCCAGGCCCGCCAGGCCAGAGCAAGCCATGCACAGGCAGCACGCCAGAGTGACCCCTTGGTGCGCGGCTTACCGATCGTCGCACGCGATGCAGCAAAAGCGACCTGCGCGTTTGAGTTTGGCCCCGCGCGCCGCCCGAAAGCAGCGCACCAAAGGTCACCCTTACGAGGGGTCACCCTCGCGCGTAGCCGAGTAGAAGCGGGGACGTCCAATCTGGGCGAAATTCGAGCTCTTCAATTCAACCATGCCGGCCCCTTCTATTACGTAACATCCTCTGCGGAAGAGATAACGAATACATAGGGCCCGTACATGATAAAGGGGCACTGGGTCAGGACGGGCACAAGTCAGAGGGGGCACGGATAGCGGGGCGCGTCGCGGGCAACAACGAACAACGAATAGCAGAAAAATCCACATCGCGGAAGGTCACTTCAGGTACATACTCAAGGACATTATGAGACAGCTCGGTCCCCTCACTCCGACATTTTTGCGGCCAGTAGACGGCGGCAGCAGTCTTCGGCGAGGGGAACGTAACCCTGGGCTTTCTTCAACACACACACCAGGGATAACACATGATACCCTTGCGGCAGAAAACCCGAAACAACACAATACAACACATTACATATCATATTATCAGAATGATGGTGCCGAACGGTCTTACACCATGCCTGGGTGCGTGGGTTAAGTGGGGTGCCGTGTTTGGGATTATGCTGGTTTGCCGTTGCTGTTGAAATCTCACTTCCACGAGTACGTAGTGTTGATCCCCACCTCCCCGGTAAAGTGTGTTTTCCCAAGTGACGTGCCAACGCTGTTTTCATCAGGGACAGTATTGGGTCTCGAAACTGCGGTGTTGGCCACCAGACTGCTACAGAACGGCCCCCGCCTGACACAGCCATCGTGCTACCATGAGGAACGCATCATAAGGAACGAGTGGGGCTTTTCTGGCCACGGCGAGATTAACCCACAAACAGGTTCCACACCACAAATCTAAGGAACGGCCCGAAAACTAGAGCCCCTTTTCTGAGCCCAGAGAAACCCTTCTTCCAGAGTCTTGGCCGTACTTCCTCACGCGTTCTTCAAGATCGCGCTGTCGCGTGGGACCTACTCGCAGTGTATTCCAACGCCGCGCCCTCGACACTCAAGAAACACGCTCTCGCGCTGGACTTCCTCACCATGCACTTGGGAATCGCGCTATCGCTAGAGACTTCCGCATGATCCATGAAACAAAACTGACGCTTTATCGACCTGCCCACTCGACCCTCCCGTCTGGGTCCGCCCGCGCGACCCTTCGGTTAGGGCTCACCCGCCCGACCTTCCCGTCAATTTCTGCTGCTTGTTTCCTTCTCATGACCACCCTCTTGCAAATCTCTCTCGTGCTCCATACGCCTCCCTCCCCTTTGCCATTTCCCTCCTCCCTCCCTTCGCGCATCCCTGCCTTCCGTGCTATGTGTTTGTTCCTGCCCCC